CCCCAAAACCCCAAAACCCCACTTCCCCAAAACCCCAAAACCCCATGCTAGCATATTTTAGAAATTATTGATAACTAAATGATGATTAATTGATAATAAATAGGTTAATTAAGTTAGTTACTTCTAGCAAGCAAGTGACTAACATTTATCTATTTGAAATAGTATCAATCCTCAGCACCTTTGCCCCTGGATCCCCCTTTCTTGCCACTTTTCCTATATCTTTCCTTCCTGACCTCTTTAGATTTTTCCTATCTCTTTTCATCAATCTTGGCTTAGCGTTTCTTGACTGCAGCCACATGCTATACCTTCTTTTCTTTTCTGTCTTTATCATATTCTTTGCCTAAATGAGCCAGTCTCTGCACCATGGAGTAAATTTTCTTCTCTTAATCGTTCATAAACATCTTTTTGAAAGGTCTCTTGGTTGGCAGATTCAAGGCATCTAAAAGATTAGTCTTTCTGCGAGTGTCAACAGCAGCCTTGTCGTTAACAACCTTGACCTTTTATTTGGACTTGAAAGGTAGATTCGATTCGATGGCTTTAGGCACCTAAAGTGGAGCGAAAACTCTTTCATCTCTTTCCTAATCGATCACTTCATCGTGCTTGATGTAATCAGAGTCTTGGCCTTTTGATGGAATTGGCAGATTTTTCTCTTTTCTTAGCTCTGCATGTGTCTTCAGCATTCTAGTCTTTCCATAGGCAATTACTGGATTGCAGAATTTTGGAATGTCTACCTGATACCAGGTTCTGCAGAAAACAATATCACTTTTAAGAATTTTATCTTCAAAAGTGGCTCTGAAACTACCCTCTGGAGCATTTTCCTTTACAACCTTTTTAATCTAACCTCTGATACCAGAGACTGTCCTAATCTGTGCACCTTAGAATTTAGCCACCTCTAGCTTAGAATTAAACATGCCTTTAATGAAAGCAGTATTTTTGTGTATTTTGAATGGCTCTCCAATCAGCTTTAACTTTTTCATAATCTTGAACTGAGTGTTCAGTTCAACAACTACACCTGTGGTACATATTCTGAAATGAGCGACATCTTTTCCAGAATCATCTTGGAGTTTCTATACTCCTACGAAGGTTGTACCTACTGCAAATGATGGCCCATAGAAAGCTGCATAACAATACCCGAATTTAGGAGTATATTTGATCATGCGCATTCTTTCATTCTCATCTTCTGTACAATAAACTGGGAGTGTCTGGAACTTTCTCCAGCCAATTGAAAAAATAAGTGGGTCTTTATTTTTCATAATATGTGGGTACCATCTGTGCTTCTTTATTTTTACTCTTAAGTATGCATAGCTTAATTCTTGCTACTTGAGGGAACATAGAACAACTGGATACTCAGGTACTAGCTATCTTGAATAATTCTTTTAAACTTGTAGTTCAATTCTGACAAAGCACCCCATCTTATAGTGACCATGACTTTCACCCAAAAACATGCTTAATTTTTTCTAATCAACTTCTTTTTTCTTTTTTTCTTCTTCTCTTCTCTGTACCTCTTTTTCATCTTTGTGGCTCTTTTTCTTTTTCTAATTGCCATTTTTATCCTCTTCATCATCTGAATCATCATCACTATTAGATTCATCTAAATCCTCTATTTTTTAGCCCTTCTTATGCATTTGTTTCAATTTCTTGGCATCTTCCTTTTCCTCTTCATCGCTATCACTCATATCTAGCAGATTTTTCATTATTTGCTCTTGACTTTGTCCTGTAACGAATTTGGACTTAAGAAGCTTTTTGACATCTTTATTAAGATACATTTGTAACTTTACCTAACTTACTTCATATCTGTTGGTATCGACAATGTACTCAGTGTCTTCTTGATAGTCCTCATCTTCTTTGTTAATTTCATTGTAAATCATCGATTATAGACTCTAGACTTCTCGCTCTCTATAGAGACTCTACTTATCCTTGAGTCTCTGTTCATCAAACTTATTCATGAGTTCATCTTACTCTTAGATCTTTAATGCTTCTTTTTTATTCTTTGGTTTCCAGTTATCATCATCACTGTCATCTGCAATATTTATTCCACTCATCAATTAAGGATCTTCAATATCATTATCATTCATAGTTTTATCCATTTCCTAAAGTTTCCACACCAACTATTGTCCTTCATTTCCAGGCTGAGTGTTATCTGCTCCCTCAAGCTAGCCGTCGTCTTCTTTTAGCTTAGTATAGACCACATACTAATCAGGTATTGTTATATATCCAGTTGTCTTTTCAAAGTTCATTGCACCAATATTACTAAATGGAGCATAGAGTACTCTTTCCTTGTCCTTGAGATTTCTCTTCTTCTTTTTTCCGCCTTATTTCTCCTCTAATATTTCAAGTTGCTTTTACTTTACTGTCTTTTTCAGTTCTATTGGGCAAGGGTCATCTACCTTTTAAATACTTTTAATTTCATAGTCTCCTAGCCCGTTTACGTGAATCCTCAAATTCTTATCTAGGTAAGTTCCTCTAATATACCCGTAGAAAGAAACAGTATTGTAGTCAGGATTATTAGTCTGCTCGATCACATCAAATCTGTCTGCTACTACATAAGAATGAGACACTCTCCAACTTAAAGGCTTTATTTTCTGGATAGTAATAAATCTGCCTAGGTTATGAATCTCTGTTCTGGGATAATTTCCATCTGCCTGCAGTCCTGAAAGATAAAATAACTTAGCTCCATCGTAAACTTCCTTCCAAAATCTCTTCTTCATCTTCTTCTTGGTCTTTCTCAGTTGCTTGTTGAGTTTATAGTAATCAAGATGAGTCAAGACTCCCATCACATTGGGCATACCGTGATTGTGAAGCAGACACAAAAACTCAAAGGTCTCCATTTCAAAGCCAATAGAAGCATCAATCAATAGCAATGCCAAATCTGCGATTTTTGCCAAGTCAATCATTGCCTGCATATCAGTTGGACACTCGTAAAAGGTGATTCTCTAATTTTTATTTGTTCTCAAAGTGATTGTTCCTTTCACATCATTTATCTTTTGCTTAGTGAAATTCTGTACAAGTGATTTAATAAGAGTTGTCTTGCCACTCTCCTTCGATCCTTAAACTACAATAACAAATGGAGGTGATAAATCATCTTCGTTTTACTCGTTTAGTTGCTCTACTCTGTATGTAATACGCTCTTCAGCCTCGTTCATTTTGATAATTATTAATAACTAATACTAAATTATCACTTACTATTTCTACTTTTGCAACTAGGGGTTTTGGGGTTTTGGGGTTTTGGGG